AATGAATTTTCCATGTTCTAATGAGTAACAAGCATAGTTAACATTTACCAAACATTTACTATGGGTCAGGCATGAAACTATGTCTCGCTTCACTCTCAAAAACCATCCTGTTAGGCAAAAACCATCAACACCATTTCGCAAGGAAACAGAATCACAGATGTTAAGTGACTCACCAACGTTCACAATGTTTGCAGATTTAAAAGGTCACAAATCTGAGACTCTAACAAAGTCCATTGGATGCAGTCTATGGCTTGTGTCCCAGCCACTGCACCATACTGCCTCTGTTGGAGGGTTTCAGGGGACCTGGAAGACCAGGGAAAGCTCTGTGGAGGCAGAGGTTAAAGACTGCATCAGTCCAGGGAGATGAGGGATGGGAGCAGCAGGATGATGGTCCTCCACCCCTCACCACTTACCAGCCTAAACACAGCTGCAGGGTTGGAGCATGGGCAGGAAGGGCCTAGGTGCCATGGCCCTTTTAGGGATTTTAGCATCCGATGATGTGATAACTCTTGGTAGCAGCTACCCCAAGGACTAATGGGAGGTACCTGCCCCTCCCCATTGAGAGAAAGCCAGGCTGCGGACCAGAGGTAAAGAAGTGGCAGCCTCAATGCCCAGGGAATATGGGGAGATGGAAGGCCTCAGGTGGACAGCTGTATACAGAGGGGCTTCTTTGTGATCTGGATAAAGCTACCCAGATGTTAACAGCCTCAGACTGCGTGAAGTCCTCACATCCCCATCCTTCAACCCAACTGCCTATCAGCAACCATCTCTTCCAGGGATCATTATATGTTGTGCTACAAAATCCTCAGTAGTCCTTCAATGTGCATTGATGAATCTGAAGCTCCGAGTGGTCAAATCACTTGCCTAAGGTCATGCAACCTGAATTCACACCCAGGTCTGGCTAAATCAGAATTCCTTAATTATGGAATCACATACTTTCTTCTGTGTGATGGCATTTTGCTGATGGGCCGCTTTGCATTTGCTCTTTCCCCATCTACAGCCCAAACTTAGAAGGGCAAATTAGTTCAGCAAATGCTAGTGGGGCTAGTAGAACCCCCCTTCCTCTAGATTTACACTGCATCATTCTTCTTCCACCCCAGTCCTCTTGTGAAAACCTGAGACCTCAGGCACCCCTCCCCTACCTCCTGAGGGAGCATTTCCCCTAGATGTAAATAATCTTTTGTGTATCCATACTACCAACAAAGATTTTACTTTGCTTGACTCTGAGGTTTGTATTATAAAAATGAGTTTATTTTCCAAATATGGATTCCTAATATTGAATATTAATACTGATTATAGTGTTTCTCAATAGCCCTCCTTGACCCCAAAGCAGACTGGGCACTATTGGTCCTCATCAGCTTAGCACATTCTAGCCCCATACTAGAGATGTTAAGTTGCCAATTAACCTTTCTGCCTGTTTCTTCATAAAAATATGTATAATAGTGCCTGTATACCTTCCACAGTTATGTTTTGAAGAAATGAGATGATGAAATTAAAGCACTTAGCACAGAGCCTGGCACACTACAGATACACAATAGATACTAATTAGAATCAGTATTACTTTTAGGGTTTCCTAGAGTTCTGACCATGTTAAGATCTGAGAAATCATGGATTCAGTAACCTTCCAGTCCCAGAAAATACTTGAGAATGAAGACAATGGATTCCAGAAATCTATCTCAGGACTAGGTTATGGAGGTATGGAACGGAGATAGTGGAGGGCTGCTGGCCCTGACAATCTCACTGCTCTATTTCAGGGAGCCCAGAAGAACGAGGTCTGATACAGTGGAAAGCTGGGGCCCATGCCAACAGTGAGATGTCCACCAGCCTCAAGAGCTATGACTTCCCCATTGGGATGAACATTGTAAAAAGGATTGCCTTTCTGAAATACATTCCTATCTGCCCAATCTTCAAAGGATTTTCTTTAAGGTCGAAAACCCAGCCTCCAGTTTCAGAAGACATTCCAGAAAATATACAAACTGGATCTGCATGCACCAAAGTCTAAAAAATTACTCCTAGTAAAGGTAGGATGTGTGTTAAGACTGTCTTTTGTAGGAGGGTTAAAAAAAAAACAAAAACAAAAACAAAAAAAAAACAACACAATATTTTTATACTTTAACCAAAAAAAAAACAAAACTACTCAGCTTCTGTTTTTGTGACCTATTTGACTAAGGGAAAGGTACACTGTGTAAAACGTCAATATACAGATTTTGAGTGCAATTCCTTAACCATTTCATAATGAGAGTAGAACTTTCCAACTGGTGTGGGTCACTAAGAGGTTACAAGTATGCTGACATATTGACCTCTTCAGCCTTCTGGGTGTCTATGCAGGAAATGAGTCAACCTCAGCCCTTGAGCCATAAACTCCAGCCACAGGTAGCCCCATCCGTGTACTCCAATATGCTAAAAACAAAACAGAACCCAAAATCCCATAACACTTTATGACATGAAATAGGTTGAGAAATACACTGCACAAAACAGGAAACTTTCTCTCATATATGCTGCCTTGTTTCAGTAGTGATAACATAAAAATCCCTAAAATCGTAACAGGATAACTTCAATTACCCTAAAACTATGCCACATGGGCGTGATGGGATGATCTGTCCAAAGTTCTTCAAAATGGAATAGCTGATGCTCTCAAACTTTCCATCTCTACCTGTAATGCAGATGCCTGACTCTCCAGTTAAACAGCTAAGTAGTTTTAATGTGCAGTTTCCCTAAAAAAATCAAGAAAAGTTCCAACAGGGCACCTGGGTGGCTCAGTGGGTTAAGCCCCTGCCTTTGGCTCAGTTCATGATCTCAGGGTCCTGGGATTGAGGCCCGCACCGGGTCTCTGCTCAGCAGGGAGCCTGCTTCCTCCTCGCTCTCTGCCTGCTTCTCTGCCTACTTGTGATCTCTGTCAAATAAATAAATAAAATCTTAAAAAAAAAAAAAAGAGTAGTTCCAACAAAATGAGAGCTAAGCCTACAACATAGCTTTCTTGTAAAAATAATCACTTAGGGGCACCTGGGTGGCTCCGTGGGTTAAAGCCTCTGCCTTCAGCTCAGGTAGTGATCCCAGGGTCCTAGGATCCTGAGATGGAGCCCCGCATCTCTTGGGCTCTCTGCTCGGCGGGAAGCCTGCTTCCCCCCATCTCTCTGCCTGCCTCTCTGCCTACTTGTGATCTGTCAAATACATAAATAAAATAAATCTTTAAAAAAAAAAATCACTTAAGTAGAACTTTCTATGTACCAGGGACTCTCGTAAGTGCTTAATTAACTACAGACTCCTGAGACAGACACTGTTATTACCACCATTTTATTTTTAAATTTTATTTTTTTAATAATTTTTTAAAAAAGATTTTAGGGGTGCCTGGGTGGTTCAGGTTAAACCTTTGGTTAACCCTCTGCTTTCGGCTCAGGTCATAATTTCAGGGTCCTGGGATCGAGCCCCACATTGGGCTCTCTGCTCAGTGGGGGAGCCTGCTCTCCCCCCGCCACTGCCTGCTTCTCTGCCTACTTGTGACCTCTGTCAAAGAAATAGGTAAAGTCTTAAAAAAAAAAAAAAAGTTAAAAAAAAAGATTTTATTTGAGAGAGAGAGTACAAGTAGGGGGAGGGGCAGAGAGAGAAACAGACTCCTCACTGGGCAGGGAGCCTGACTCGAGGCTCAATCCCAGCACCCCAAGATCATGACCTGAGCCAAAAACAGATGCCTAACCAACAAACCACCCAGGTGCCTCTTTATTTTTTTTTAGTAATATCCTCACCCAGCATGGAGCTCAAACTCACAACCCTGAGATCAAGAGTCATGTGCTTCCAACTGAGCCAGCCAGGTGCCCCTGTTAATTCAACCATTTTAAACAGGTGGAAACTAAGGCATAGAATGGTTAAGTGACTTGTCCATGATCACTGGATTCACATCCAGAAGTCTGGCTAGTCTGTGCTCTTAACCATTAGGTTACAATGCCTCTCTAATTCAGGTTTATAATCTCCAATTACACTACACTATGGCAATCTGGCACTATGTGGAAATGAACTCATTTGCCCCCTCCTGACCTTAGAGAGAATCTGTAAGCCTTATACATTTGGCAGCCAGCTGTGTCACTTGTGGTACTTAGCTATTAAAGACAGAGGGGACTGGCTGTATCATGGCTCCAAAAACCTTGTTTCAGAGTTTCTTAAAGATCTACCTATTTTGGGGTGCCAGGTTGGCTCTGTCAGAACATGTAACTCTTTGATCTCAGGGTTGTCAGTTTGAGCCCATGGAGATCAAGAATCTCATGCTCTACTGACTGAGCCAGACAGGCACCCCAAAATTACTAAAAACAACAACAAAAAACCTACCTGTTTAGTTTCTTTTAAGGGAGCTACTAAAAAACACTAGGGCACCTGGAAAACCAAAGGACCACCCCCCACCCTTCCCTGGAGAATGTGAGTCAGAACAGACTACATGGCCTTTTTAATTTTTGAGCCCAACAAACTCAAGCACAGAGGGAATTATCAACAACTAAGTAGGACCATGAAGCAGAATTGTATGGCAGAACCAGAGAACTGCTAGATGGTTGACAGCCTATCCCAAAATAAAGATTAGCCACAAACATTATAAATAAGCTTGTGAGGGGAAAACAGGGATGGTCCAGGTAATCAAAATAGCAAACCAGTCCAATCAGACCAGCAATGACTTGTGACGGGCAGAAGCCAAAGGTGATTATACTAGAGTAAAGTTACTATTATACTGGTCAGTCAAAAAGTTTCTTAACATGGATATCTACAACTGCCCTGACACTGACTGCAGCCCGAAGCAATCAAGGTGGGTTACAGAAGGGGATGCAGGCTTTATTTTACTACTGTATTTTGGACAGATACACGCATAAGGACACACCTGACACTCTGGAATCGAATAAAGCCTGCTCTCAGCAAATCTTGCCAGCAGGGTTGTCCTGAAGTACTGAGCCCACACTAAAGTGAGTATCAATCACCACAGGAGAGTCTGCATTCCAGCACCAAGAAACACAAGCATCAGCTCAGTTCTACTATTATTTATTTTTTTAAATATTTTTGAAAAAATATAATTTTTTTACAATATTTTCAACTTAAACACTATTCACACTGAACACGTATGGCAGCTTAACCTACCCAAGTATGAAGTTTAAGAAGCCAAAACTGTTCTAGCTTTGTTAAAAGAAAAGTTGTGCTGTAGACTATTGTAGTGATGGTTAACAAAGCAAGGAAAAGCACCACTCAAATCATGTTACCATTACTTTGTTCAGGGGATTATGATGGGCCAAATGTTTGCACTTCACATAGGGAGAGCTATGATGCAGTGACTCCTCAGAAGAAGATGCAGTTCTCAAATTACATACTTCCTCAGATGTAACATTAGAAGAACTACTTCCTAGGTGAAAAATACCATCGAAGCCAGGACTAGTTATCATCTGATTACTACCCTTATAACCTCAGTAACCAAAGACATACTTGTCTATAAAGAATTATTTCAAATTAACGAACAAGGCCTTCTTCAGAAAAAGGAGATCCTTTTTGATAGTTACAAATGCAAACTGAAGTCTGAACTTAGAAATATACCTAACAACTAGAACTTAATTTAAATGTACTCATTTTTTAAAAGTTTAGACATCAACAAGCATTCGCTAACCCTAAGGGACTAGTTTAGCCTCAAAAAAGACAATTCACTAAGATTTAGAGGTCATTTTAATTTGGTGCTTTGTCACAACTTGACTGGTGCTTCTTTCCTTGCTGTCTTCACATCAAGCCATGGGGCCAATCCTATTTTCAGTAAATGTTTGACAGCTTATTACTTAATAACAGTCTCAGCACTTTTATTAAGCATGCAAGACTAACAAAACTTTGGCAATGCATAAGTGTAACACAGTGACAAGAGAGAGCTTTTACAATTAAGTCTTCTAATACTGCCTTCACAGTGTGGAAATTGTGCTACATCCACCAAAAGAGGGCCCCGTCTACTCAAATATTTTAGTACTTCACCCCAGGAACAAACTCCTTTGCATTTGGATTCAGATTGCTCTTGACCTGGAAAATAAATACATAAAAAAAAAAAGCAAATTCATTAACAGATGGCTTCAGATATTTAGAAGCATTCAACCCAGATCCACATGCAAAAATATCTTCCAAAAAATATAAAACAAAAGAACTCAGATTGTAAGGTTAAACTTAACCCCCAAAATCTATCTATAGCAGGGAAAGAAAGAACCAGAGATAAACTATGTATTTATATGAAAATTTATCACCTTCTAAAATGAAAGTAGGAACTGAAATTAAATTTGCTAAAGGGTAACCAGAAACCCACTAAGTTCATACAAACTGAAAAGGTGTCACAGAATGAGGAATTCTGTTCATTTAACTATATTTGATTTTAACCATTTCATACTACGCAAAAATATTAAGGGTTGAAATGATGATTAAAGTAGACTGGAGAATTGTTTATGGATTAATTTTGCTCATGATCCTCACTAAAAACATGGAGTTATCTTTCTAAAATTGTTGTATTCTAATTCCCACAGGAAGCAAGGTTTGTAACAGGAAAAGAAAACTACATGGGGAATCAGAAGACCAAAGATGGAATTTCGTCACTGTTCCTAACTAGCTTCCTATGAAAGGCTGGATAAGTCACTTTCCCTGGGACTCTTAAAAGAAGAATGGGCCAAAGTCTCTAAGAGCCACCATTCTATACCTCTAAATCTTTATTTTCCTAGACAGACATGTCAGTATACTGAAAATAGCTGGAAATTTGCCTCCACCACAGTTGACAAAAGATGAAAAGAAATCAAAATATATTCCAGGCCCTGAAATGTAGGAATGCTGAGAGGCTTTTAGAGGGAATCTGAACCCCCTATATCACTTACTTCAAGACCAAAGCATATTAAATAACATGTTAGAGCAATAATTTAATTTTAGTTTCATAATTATACACAACTATTTCCTTGGACAGGACATACATAGTCTTACTTCTCTCAAGTGAATTATTTCTGAACTTTAAAGTGTGAGGTTTAAATTAAAAAGCAGTGTTCTTCAATGTGTCTTTTGGCAGCTACAAAAGAATGAGAAGGAATTAACAATTTCAAATAAACCAAGTCGAGTCGAACAAACCAGTTTCTAGGCAATTATACTGGGTCCATATTAAAGTTATACATTATGGGGCACCTGGGTGGCTCAGTGGGTTAAGCCTCTGCCTTCGGCTCAGGTCATGATCTCAGGGTCCTGGGATCGAGCCCCACCTTGGGCTCTCTGCTCAGTGGGGAGCCTGCTTCCCCTCTCTCTCTGCCTACCTGTGATCTCTCTGTCAAATAAACAAAATCTTTGAAAAAAATTAAAAAAAAAAAAGTTATACATTATGACCAGCAAAGGACTTTACTCATCAGAGTAACCAGGATTATTTGTGGAATGACTAATGCAGGCATAAGCAAGCATATCTCAATGGACTATTCATATCACACATCTGCTCAACTGGGTTACTGTCATTTACTGCAACAAGTCTATACTACAATGTAAAATGTTCTTCAAATAGCCCTTTAGAAGAATGGTTCCCAAATGCCTGATGGGGCAGGCTGGCAGTATGCACTAGGAGTGCTTTTTAAAACTCAGCATGCCTAGACAACTGATTTTACAAGTCTGGGATGTAGCTGAGGGACTTATTTTTCTTTTTAATGTTTCACAGGTAATTATGATGTATCGCCAGGGTAGGAAATCACTGCACAGTGAAAAGACAACAACTGCAAAAAATATTTCAGAGTCTAGGAGTAAATTCCAAAGAACTATCTTGTAAAAGCAATTAGAGATTGTCAATATGGTCAGAAAGGTCAACATTAGGACTTCAAATCATTTTATCTTAATTTTAGCAAACAACTCTTCAGGTTCTATCCTTGTACTAATGTTTATTTGTCGTAATTCCTAAAAATACCTTTTACTGCAAATATACCATCCCCAGCAACAAAACATGGAAAATAAATAAAAATGCAAATAAGTTTGTGTTCCTTTTCTGCCAAGAGCTTATAAAAGTCCCTATTAAATCCCAGTTCTAAATGGGAGTTAGTGTAACTCAATGAAAATCTTGGGTCAGGGGGAAAAAAATCCAAATTTTCACCTTTCAGATAAAATTTTGAAAATCTCGCCAAATGTTTAAGGCAAAATTAAAGAGCAAAACCTCTTTATCAAGCTACTTTTGTACAGGCAAGTCACATGGACATACTGTATACTTCTTTTGGATTAATGCTTTAAGATATTTACATATCCTAGGACAACAGTTATTAAAACTAAAAGCAACTGCAAGAAGTTTGTTAGTCTGCAAGAAGTTTGTTAGTCTGAGACTAGCCCCAGAGTGTCGTCAGAAGTCACTCCATGTCATAAGTGAGGAGGAGACCAGGAGGCTCCTGCTTCCATAGTAAGAAGCAGTATAATTTCCGAAGGGGAAGAAACTTGTAGAACTCTTCTTAAACAGATGACTGCTGGCTTTTCCACTTATGGGAAGGATGAGCTAGTTTTTAAAAAGATGAAAAATAACTTTACCACAAGATCTTCCAGAGAAGAGCCATCACTGATAACAAGGTCATTAAATTGGTCTTGGATTTGGTCCATAGTTTGTGGGAGATCTCGAGCTGGAATAAACCACTCATGTTCTTCTTCTTCCTCCAGCATTTCTTGGAAGCAGCGTTCAATAAATTCTTCTTCCCATAACTCCTCTTCTATCTGGATTTATAATATATAAAGGGTAATTTATAGAACATTTGGTAAGGCATCACTAGGAACAGCTTAAAATATCTTGAATTAAAGCACTTAAAACCACAATATTGTAACGTTCTCCTCTGCTTCTGTGCCAAGAAAAAGAAACATTTACCACAAGACTAGGGAAGAAGGAGTTTGTGGTCTTTGTCTTAGCAGAATATTCTTTTTTCTACTTAGAGTGATGGGGAAGTAATAAATAACGGAGTGTTTTCACTGAGGAATTTGTCAGAATTACCTGTGATACTTTAAAACTACACAAACCCTAATCTGACCCAAAAATGACTAAAATTCTATAGAAGGTAGGGTTGGGGCATGGGTAATTAAAAACAAACCAAAAACAGATTTATGGTAAAATCAAACTGGCTACTGATTACCAAAGCCACAATCAGGGACGAACTAGACACAAGATGGAAACAGATGGCAGAAATATGGGAATAAAAGACAACATTATGAAAACAGATGGCAGAAATATGGGAATAAAAGACAACATTATCAATGTAAGAGCACGATCTAAAGGTAAAAGTGGTGTCAGGTTTTTAGGCTTACCAAATTAAGAACCTCAAGTAAAAAAAAATAGCACAATTCTGTACATTAGTACCTATGCCCGTCTGCTCCTGATTTATACTCTCTTAAGAGCAATCTGGCTGATGCAAGCAGTAGTTTCCAAACCTAACTGCACAATGGAACCATCTGGGAGGGTTTTTGTTTGTTTTTATTTTTATTTTTTATTTTAAATTAATTATTATATATAATTAATATTAATAAAATATTTATTTTATTTAGTTTTATTTTTTATTAATCTCTACACCCAACATGGGGCTTGAACTCACAAACCTGAGATCAAGAATCCCAACGCGACTGAACCAGGCAGGTGTCCCCGGATCTGGGAGCTTTTGAAAAACAAGTTTTCCAGGCTCCACCCCAGTACTCCTGAATGAGAATATCTGGTGTGGGACCCTGCAAAAAGCTCCCTAAGTTATTTCAGTGATCAGATAAACCTGGTAGTAATCAGCATTCAAATAAAATAGGAGTGGTGGCATATAAATCCATATATATAAGGGACCAGATGAAAAACAAACTATGGGGACAAGTACAACCAAATTGAGGGCTGTCATGGGCTATGAGAAAGATCATGTTTGTACACAAAACTAACTTGTCTGTTGAATTCCTCTTCATTTTCCATCCACATGTACTCTGCAAATGGATTGTCATCTTCATGAGAATGACCATTAATAATCACATCTTCATTGATGATGCTTGGGCTAGTACTGCTGCGACTTGGATCTTTCATGGCTGGCGTTAGTTGTCGTTTTTAACCTTCAAAGAAGAATAGTTAATTTTGTCAGTCATTCTTTCAGTTCTTTTTTTTTTTTAAAGATTTTATTTATTTATTTCACAGAGAGAGATCACAAGCAGGCAGAGAGGCAGGCAGAGAGAGAGACAGAGGAGGAAGCAGGTTCTCCGCTGAGCAGAGAGCCCGATGCGGGACTCGATCCCAAGACCCTGAGATCATGACCTGAGCCGAAGGCAGAGGCTTAACCCACTGAGCCACTCAGGCGCCCCAGTCATTCTTTCAGTTCTTAACTAACGTCTATCACCACCAGGCATCACAGTTAGGTACCAGATGCACGTGATATATCAAGCAATTGGAAAACTTCAGTTTTTTTCTCAAATGATCTTATTGTTTAAGAAATAGCTGCAACAGCCTAGATTCATCTAGTATTTTCTGGTAACCATCGACGGTAATCAACTCTTTGAACGTAACTCCCAAATCATCTGATTTTTAAAATATTAGATATGCCTTACTTTATAAAATAAGCATAATGTGGAAGACTTAAGTCACTAAAAGTTACTTTATGAAAAGCAAATTCAACTTTTAAAAACTGGTATTAAAAAGCCCAGAGACTGCAAATGAAAACAGACTTAAAAAAAAAAAAAAAAGATTTTATTTATTTGACAGAGAGAGAACAAGAGAGGGAACACAAGCAGGAGGAGAGGGAGAAGGGAGAGGCTTCCCCCCCCCCCCCCCCCCCCAGTAAGGAGCCCAACCCCGGGCCCAATCGCAGGACTCTGGGATCATGACCCAAACCAAAGGCAGACACTTAATGACTGAGCCACCTAAGCGCCCCGAAAACAGATTTTAATAACCTCTTGGTTCCTCAGTTCCAAGGAACAGAGTGCTCTGGATCTTTTATTCTTTTTTTTTTTTTTTAAGGATTTATTTATTTGAGAGAGAGAGAGAGAAAGAGGGGGAAAGAATCTCAAGCAGAATCTGTGCTGAATGTGGAACCTGGGCTCAATCTCACAACCCTGAGATCATGACCTGAGCTGAAACTAAGAGGCGGAGGCTTAATCAACTGAGCCATCCTTTTACTATTTTGGATCTTTTGACTTCATAGCATACTCTCTATTTGCTTTATCTCTGTCAAGTCCCTCCATGTCTGGATTTGTCCACTGTACAGTGAGTGTCAAGCATCTAATCTATGCAATATGCATGGTTTTATTTATTTATTTTTTTTAAAGATTCTATTTATTTATTTGACAGACAGAGATCACAAGTAGACGGAGAGTCAGGCAGAGAGAGAGAGAGAGGGAAGCAGGCTTCCTGCTGAGCAGAGAGCCCGATGCGGGACTCGATCCCAGGACCCTGAGATCATGACCTGAGCTGAAGGCAGCGGCTCAACCCACTGAGCCACCCAGGCGCCCCAATATGCATGGTTTTAAATGAGATATTATCTACAGACTTTTTCTCTTTAAAGATTTTGAGAGAACAAGTGTGAGAGAGATCATGGGCAGGGGAGGGGTAGAGGGAGAAACAGACTGACCACTGAGCAGGGAGCCCAATGCAGGACACCATCCCAGGACTCTGGGATCATGACCTGAGCCAAAGGCAAAACACTTAACCAACTAAGCCACCTAGGCGCCCCTACAGACTGCCTTTTAAACTCTTTTATTACTTTTATAGTATGTAATAAATATCTTTCCATGAAAGTTGATGAAACTCCCCTGCTGACAGAAAAACTTCCAGACTAAGTCAAAATGAATTTTCCAGAAGAAAAATGACGGAACATCACAAGTTCACAGTAAAGGGTACATCAAGAAAATGCAACTTTGGGAAGCAGAGAGTTTATTATTATTAACCTCAGCATTCAAGGCATAAAGTAAGTAAAACTCATTATGACGGTCTCAGTGAGGGGGATCCCCTTAACAATGTGAAAGCTATACCTCAAATGAAGTTCCCTAATTTTCCTCCTTGGTTCTCTCTCATCTCCTCCATGAACCATTCCATCGGCATCTCCATCTATCATGTCAAGGTTACTGATAAGCCTACTGGACATATCCTCTCTAACAACATTGTTGGGGGGGGCCAACCCACTCTAATACTTCCTCCAGGCTCCCACCTCCGAAAGGGTGGGCTTCTTCTTCATTGCCCACTGCTCTTCTCCTTTGCCTTCCTGGAGGACACTTTCCATCTTGAGATTGTTTTTCTGCTTCCTCTTTCTGCAGGGATCAGAAGCAGTCTTCCTAGCTTAGCCCTGAAATCTGCTGCACCAATGGACCTAAAGACCTGCTACTGATCAGGGTCAGCTTCTGCGACTTCCTCCTTCCATGGGCTACAGGCTCATCAGTCTTCAAGACAATAGCAAACCCCCGCACAGCCACAAACAACAAACAGACTCCAACTAGCTCAAGCATCCAATCTCTTTTTATGTGAGTAAAAGTAGAGCAGATTCTTATACACTACTCAATAGGTGGTAACATGACCTAACCCAGCTGATATATTGGTGGCTCAAAGTTTGAAGCAGGGGTGCCTGGGTGGCTCAGTCGTTGGGCATCTCCCTTTGGCTCAGGTAATGATCCCAGGGTCCTGGGATTGAGCCCTGCATTGGGCTCCCTGCTCCACGGGAAGCCTGCTTCTCCCTCTCCCATTCCCTGATTGTGTTCCCTCTCTCACTGTCTCTTTCTCTGTCAGATAAATAAATAAAATCTTTAAAAAAATAAAAATAAAAGTTTGAAGCGTAAGTTTCAGATTCTAATTGTAGAAATAAAATTGCTAAACCTGGGTTTACATTTAACAAGAGTCATTTGCATATAAAATCAAACAGCAGTGTGACTGGCACCAAAGGAAGGAATCAGCATACCTAGCATGAGGACAGAGTTTTAAAAATCTTAAGGCCGGGGCGTCTGGGTGGCTCAGTGGATTGAGCCGCTGCCTTCGGCTCAGGTCATGACCTCAATGTCCTGGGATCGAGACCTGCATCAGGCTCTTTGCCCAGCGGGGAGCCTGCTTCTCTCTCTCTGCCTGACTCTACCTACTTGTGATCTCTGTCAAATAAATAAATAAAAATCTTAAAAAAAAAAAAAATCTTAAGACCTGGGGAATCTGCATGGCTCAGTCAGCTAAGCATTCAACTCTTGATCTGGGCTCTGGTAATGATCTCAGGGTCGATATCAAGCCCCAAGTCGAACTCACAACCCTGATATCAAGGATCACATACCCTACTGACTGAGCCAGCCAGGTGCCCCTTCTTTAGATTCATTTCATGGACTTATCCTTAAGACTGTTAGTATAGGGGCACCTGGGTGGCTCAGTGGGTTAAAGCTTCTGCCTTCGGCTCAGGTCATGATCTCAGGGTCCTGGGATCCAGCCCCGCATCGGGCTCTCTGCTCAGCGGGGAGCCTGCTTCCTCCTTTCTCTCTGCCTGCCTCTCTGCCTACCTGTGATCTCTGTCTGTCAAATAAATAAATAAAATCTTAAAAAAAAAAAAAGACTGTTAGTATAATAAAAACTCATACCATTCATATGATATGAATTTAGTCTCTTAAGCTGAGAGGGGGGGGCGGTTTCCTAGCCTGACTCACACAAGTATATTCTGAAATACTGACTACTACTTATAATACCATCGTGGTAGTGACATTTTTAGTTAAGAGATCTTCAACTAAAAATTAGTAAGATCTTCTGCCCTAGTTATATTGTATACATATGAAAGAGAGGCAGAGACGGACTAAAGAGAGGCAGAGAGGACTTCCTCCTCTTTCTCTGCCTGCCTGTCTACTTGTGATCTCTGTCAAAAAAAAAGAGAAAATCTTAAAAAAGAAAACATGATTTGGGTTAGGAAAAAGAGGCACTATAAAAGCAGACAAGACAGAAAACAGACTATGAATATCTTTCTTTTCTTTCTTTTTCTTTTTTTTTTAAAGACAGAGATACAGCGAGAGAGGGAACAGAAGCAGGGGGCGTGAGAGGGAGAAGCAGGCTTCCCGCTGAGCAGAGAGCCCTATGCAGGGCTCAATCCTAGGACCCTGGGATCATGACCTGAGCCGAAGGCAGACACTTAATGACTGAGCCACCCAGGCACCCCGGTGGATATCTTTGATATTTTTTATTTATTATTTATCTTGGATGAAATAAAATCCTTTTTTTTGGGTAACAAGTTCTGACTAAAAACCAATCAGTTCCTCTGAAAGAAATTACTCATTCTCATATGACAGGCATTCCATTTTAGATTAAACTCAAATATTATGAAAAGCACCAGTCAATCCTGTTTTGCAACTGGATGTAACTTTGTTTACTCTGCATATGAGCTAATCATTATGCTCAGAGACATTGCAATTTATAACAGCTTTTTGTTATTTTCCCAACACGTATCCTATTCTAACTTACACCTGTTAAATCCTCCCTTTCAGACGACCACAGCATTAACAAGTGACTTAGAGCTTTAGTCTTACAGCTTTAGTTTAAAAAAAAAAAAAAAAAAAAAAAGTTTAGCACGGACTACAGGATATTCAATATTTAAATGGAATTGGGTAGGTAAGTAGCAACCATAGGTGTGAGACTTGTCCATCTAGAAATATGTCAAACTTATTTTTAAATAAGCCTCAATCACTGGAAGTCCATCTATATATAAATGCAATCTACTTTTTTTATAAAAAGATTTTATTTATTTTTATTTGACAGAGAGAGAGATCACAAGTAGGCAGAGAGGCAGGCAGAGAAAGAGGAGGAAGCAGGCTCCCCGCTGAGCAGAGAGCCCGATGTGGGAGCTCAACCCCAGGACACTGAGATCATGACCTGAGTTGAAAGCAGAGGCCTAACCCACTGAGCCACACAGGCACCCCTGCAATCTATTTTTTTAAAAAATATTTTATTGGGGCACCAGGGTGGCTCAGTTAGTTAAGCGGCTGCCTTCGGCTCAGGTCATGATTCCAGGGTCCTGGGATCGAGCCCTGAGTCAGGTTCCCTGCTTAGCAGAGAGCCTGCTTCTCTCTCTCCCTTTGCCTGCCACTCTGCTTACTTGCGCTCTCTATAGCTCTGT